ATACTTAATACCAGCTGGTATGTTGACTTCAAATACTATTGTCGCAAATTTTTCGGTAGTTAAGGGCTAACCACGTAATCCGTTCTAACTCCCAAATACACGTGACACCGGAAGGCGCAAAAGAAATAGTCAGACCACACACCGTGATCATACCCCGTCAATGTATTTTCCTTTGAACCTTAACGCATTTGACAGAACCTGCGAAAACTCTTCCGCGGAAAGGTCACTCAAAGCGCTTCTTTTATGGACTACGATGGTAGCAGTTTTTTAACTTTCCAATCATTTTTTTACATGGCTGACGACTGGTTAAACGAAGTTTCACGAGTAGTATTTTAGGATATTTTCAGTCACCACAGACCTTGTATATAAAAAAAGCCATCATTCATGAAATTCTGTCAGCGCCAGAATGTTATTTCATAAAATAAAACACCACTGGGTTCACTGACTTTGAAACTCATAGCCGAGGCTATCTTACTACAGATCGAAGGTATGGACATCGTATGTGCATGATACCTTCGTTGTCATCGAAAGGGATAAGTTGCTTACGTTTAAAGAACGTCTCAGCAGCATCTTTTCCGACAAAAGATTTAAAATGAAGGGGAAAAAACAACCAGCTGGCCTTGCTTAACGTCCCCGTCTGCCACAAAGACTGTAGAGGCCTACCTAATACAGTAGTCGCTAAAGACCGTGCAACGTTCATGACGAACTTTGACTTGATCGCATTATTCCGATTCGCTGAGTGGATTTAATTCTGCGAAAGCCTTTCAGTTAGAAAAATCACCATTTTATTTTGGTTTATTAAGAGAAATGGGCATTAATTTTGACGAACTTAGGAGTAGTCTCACATCGAAGAAATTTCCTAAGCTATTATGTAAAAGAGAACCAAACTTCTTATTAATGTTGATTATCCCACCGAGGAACTTCAAAATAAGTAGAAGAGGTATAGAATATATCATTTCCAGAACTGAAAAATTTTGTCGGAAATTGTTCAGATTAAAGTGAAGTCAAGTTGAAGGAATCGCATTTATTTTCAGAAACATGAAACAATTTATGTTTTAAAAATTATTTCTAGCTAACTTGTGAAATTCTTGCCCAAAATGCAGTTACAAAAGTTTCGTCGCATTTTTATAAACCGCACCGCCCACTTTGCCGAACTATCAAAGTGTCCGCATAAGTAACCGCGAAGGTAATGTAAAATAGGCCTTAATATATGTAAGTCATGTAGAAATATACTCTGTTGTAAACTACAATTTCCGCTTATGTGTATTTTAGAAACAGAACAGACAGAAGAAATATGATAATTTTTAAAAATGCCCATATATTTGGCCACCCTTTTTTGCATTCGCAAGCTTATAACAGATCCTGGAAGTAATCAACTAGGGCGGAGAGTAATCCATTTAAAGAGAAAAGTAAGTTCATTCATTGCTTGTCATATTGGATCGCTTGTTTCAGATAGATTAAAATAAGTGTTAACAGTCTGCAATTTCGTTGTAACATTAGCTTGAAACAACTTAACATACACAGACATTCATCAGCTGACTATCTAATTAAAGCACTTTTTAAAGAGGTAACCTATTGTAGAAGGTTTCTTTATTAATCTTAGGAACAAAAATATCCGAGTTATCTTGCGGACGTTCCGCATAGTCGACAGTGTGGTTTGCTGTTTTGAGGCATTCCTAAATATAATCCCCAATGGTCATCTTCATAAGAACTAATATCCAAAAACATTTTCTTTCGATAAATGCTCTTTATATATATGTTATTTAAAAGGTTTTGATGTAAACGCAAGCGACTGCCTCTCCTAAAACTAGCGCCTGAGAGCTGGATGGCCAAGCAATCATTACCCCCAACTGCAGTAAGTGTAATTAACGTTCAGCAGGTTACGACCGGCACGCCGGCAATCAAGAAGGTAAAAGTATATACGAAATTATTATGCGATTTTATCATTGATTTTGACTGCATTTATAAATTCAAATATATTTTATAGAAAACATGCATGAAAAATTGTTGCTCGTAATCATTTGGCAGAAAATTACGCCTTTGTAACATTTTATACTTGAAGAAAGGCTATCCCTGGGTTTTAAAAAAGTTTCTAAATTACGGAATAATTTTGGAACCTACTGACTGCTTCACTCGAATTCGAGGTTTATAAACTGCGCACAGTGTACATCCTGTTTATTTAAACGTACATCATCGCGTAAGTTTGAGGAAGAAGTCACATAGTTTTCATAAAATGTTGCAAAAGATGTGGAGAATGCTTTATACAGTACAAGCAACATTAATGGATTGACGGATACGACGCATTATGAATGAACACCTCGCAATCGTAAAAAGCTCATAATTAGAAATGTTTCTTAAAACCAAAGGGTACCCTTTCTTTTACCATAAAATTTAAAGCAGACGTAATTTTTTACCAAATGACTACAAGCGATAATTTTTTAGTGCATGTTTTCCATAAAATATCTTTGAATTTATAAAGGCGGTCAAAATCAATGATAAAATCGCAAACCCTTTTATGAAGTTACTTTTTACAGTGCATACGTTTTGTTGGTGGTCAGAACGAAACTTGTTAAAAAGCCCTATCATGACTGAAGTTACTTACGTATCATAACCTGCGTCAGTTCTGATTAGCGAAAGAGTATCAATATTTCTCATATATAGACATATTCCACGAATTCTGGTGCGTACTGTATAGCATCGTCCAGTCCCCAGCAACTAAGAGCTTTCTGTGAGTTTCAAATGAGGCTACCAGTGTTTCCAGACTGTTGCAACACCTCACCATATTGGTAAAAAATGTATCAGAAAAGGAAATAGTCTAAAATTAGCCACTTTCTGCGCGAAAAAGCATTCAAGCAGCTTGAAGGGTAAGTCAACACCTAGTAGTAAAACCCGTTTGCTTAGAAATAACGATGCAGTCTGCAATTAGTGAACTTAGCGCGCTGTTCGTTGTAATCCTCTTCCGAGAGCTTGGTTAAAAAAGACTGAATTTGCTTGTTGAAAAAACGTCACTCATGAGATCCCAGACAGCTCTTTTCGTAGGACTAAATTCTGACCAATCAGTTTTTGACCTTGCAGTCACGTTTCAATCGAATGTATTAAAGGTGGCCCCCAGCGGCACCTACTTTATTGTTTTGCAGGCGCAGAGCAAGTGAGCAGCATATTCGTTGAAAATGTTTTCATTTTCCTTTCTTTATTTTGAAATTCTCCACTTCATGATCTCCTGTGGCTCTAAGTTTTGCATAACAAGGATACAACTACGAACGGATCGCACTATTTAAAAAGGAGATTACTATGGTAGATATTAGCCTAAACAAGTTTTAAGTATTCCATGCAAACTGCTAGAAGTTGTCACATGCATTTTTTTTCTACGGAATTCGCCCTCAGTTATATTTCTTTGTTTCAATCATTAAATATTTTTATGCAAGCTATGACTTTTAATAAAATCGTTGTAGCAGACCATAATTTCCTTTGGATGCCAAATAGCCAAGTTATTGTAAATGTGTCAACGAGGTAGACAATCCCTATGAAAAAATGCCATTCAAGTTTGTGGTTAAGCTGACTGATACATACCTTATACAAAATGCACAATATTAGGAATGAGCCAGTAACCATTGCATCAACATTTAATTGTGTTGCAGGAATAGAACTGCCGTATAGAAAAATATCCCATAAACAGTAGGTTGGTAGGTAAATTTTCCGTGAATTCCCCAGCTGAGAACAGAAAACGCACCCTGCAAATAGCCTACAAAACTGCTTCTCAGGTGCAAACTTTCAGGTGGTAATTCTAAATAGGTTCCTTCCTGACAAACCCATATTCAGCGCACACTGCCTATATGTGTGAACATAATACTCGTGCATAGTCATTCTCTTTTTTGAAATGCTGTCATTGAGGACAAGCGTAAGTATTCAAATTCCGGTGTGCAATACGTGAATTTCAGTAAGGATAAAAAATATGTGCATTAATATTTTACTCCAGGCATGTCAGCTGTGGATACTGAGAACTAGCGAAAAATGGTTCATTGACGTTTTTGATTCTATATCTTCATATGCAACAAGAGTCAAAATGCTCCTTATATTCAGGTCTAAAACCCCACTCGTTGTAGGCAAAATATAGATAATCATTATACCAAGACTAAAACTGGTTACCAAAAATATGCCTTTTAGGAATTCATTCAAAAGACGGTATTTCTTCGATGCTTTTGCTGCTTTAATAATGCACCATTGCTTTTAATCAAAAGAACTTAGCCACAATGCCTATTTGCATACGAGACTTGAGATTGAATTTTCGGAGAAGAAATTCCCTTTGGAGCATACAGCGTAAATCCCGGTTTTAACATTGCTCACGTTGTCAAGTTTCTTGCCAGTCAAAAACGTGCTGTGGGTTTTTCTATATATGTCCCTTTACCCATTATAGGTTATAGGAAAGACAAACACTCAGTCGATTGTACATTTCTGACTGGGACGACATGTTAGGATTAAATAAACAGAGTCTGTTTATATGTGTATGTGTGTATTTCACCCGCTACTACAAATGCGACCTTGGTTCTACCGGAGCACATCCCCCATGATTATTCATAAATATATTTTTAAAAGCAAAGAATATGACCCCCTTTCTAAACTAAAGAAGTTTTTAAACTAGAGCGACAGATATTTCGGGACTATCGAAAGAGGCTACCAGTAATGTATGTGTTGGGCTGCAGTGTTGCGCGGATAGTCCCTGTAGGATAGGATATGGAATTTCAGAGTTGACGTTTATTAGTACTTATGGGATTAGAAGAATTCAATAAGCACTGGGGTAACCAAAATTACATAAAACAGAAAGTTTTAGCTTGCCTAATCTCCTGTCCCTGTCTAGACAACCGTGCAACCATCCAAATACACAGCTCTGATTTTCCCCGCAAGTTCACCTGCCTTTTGGCCATTTTGTCTTGTGTACTTAGAAGCTGAAGGCCAACTGCGTCCGTGAAAACCCTTAGTGCTGAATTGGACAATTTTTCAAAATGGACACGGAGAAAGGGAAACCTACGCGTCCAAGTGCAAACATGTTCATCGAACTTTCCGAACTGACACCAGGGGCACCACGGAATTGGCGACCGGAGCAAGAATACGTAAGAACCCCATCCCGTTACTGGCATGAACGTTTCCGTTGGATAGAGATGGAGGAGGCCTTCGACGAGGTTGTTGGTGAATTCGCGCCGCCGGAGGTGGCC